TGGTGATTTCCGTAATGTATGTCTTATCAATTCCCATCGTCTTTTTCTAATTTCTTCTTCAATTAGAAGTTGGTTTGTTCTCACTCACAGTAGGCTGTTGCTGATTATATCCAACCAATAGATGTTGAGTATGTTGTATAGACAACGATTTATACATTTTTGATGATGGTTGTAATAATTGTGGAAGTTTCATCTTCGTACAATAGAACTAAGTGAGTTGACGTTTGTATTGAAAATTATGACTTTGATATTGATGGAGAGAGAGTTGTTTTGAATCCCATGTGATCTTCAACTATAAGAATTCCGTTCTTACTTTACTAATCCTCGCCTTTATATCTGCATCCGGTCCTCTTTGTTCATAAACAGACATCGTGAACGGTTATGCTAGTCATAGAATCTTTTTTCTCTCACATTGATATAAGTGATAGGCGTAAAAAAAACGAACAAAGAAATTATTTCCTTCAATTCATTCCCTAAATAAACATCTATTAGGATTTCATAAACTTACTAATAGTTATATTGACTTGGTGTTATTTACTTGTCTTTTGTATCAAGATCAGTAGGTAAGTGGATAACGCGATACCGTGTAGAACAAATGGTATTGGGTTCAAGTCCCAGAAGGAACATCAACTCTCAGATGCGGGTACATGCAGTTGACGCGTCCGAAATAGGACGAAACGTGTGTCCTGGATTCCACTGTTAGCCACTATTCATCTTTGTTTAGAATGCTTGTGAATTAAGTCTATATCGAGGCGATTCGCACAGGGTGCATATATGCTAATATCAGACTGATTAATTGCAGTCCTAAATAACAATGGGAAGATACAAGTAAACAATACCAAGTGAATTTAAACTTCACTACATTGCACAAGCATGTGGCTATCAGTACTTAGTAATTAAGTAGATAACACTATAGTGTTTGAAACAAACGGTACTGGATTCGAATGCTTGAGTGAACATCAACTCTTAGATGCAGGTACATCCATTTGATGATTCGTAAACTGATTACCATTGCTATAGTAGGCACTATCCTTCATTCCTTACTGATAATTATTACATCATTTCATCAAAATCCATAATTCAACTATCATTTCTAATCAACAATTCATAGACATGATCAACCGATCGTTTTTCATTCATTCATTCATTCAAATAAAAGAGGTTGAACTAATCTAATAACCCATTTATTTCATTCATTTAATGCCTACGCATTATACTACTTATATTCTATTCTATTTTTTTTAATGGTAAAGAATTAATCATAAGGTCATTGACTGACTATTTTCATGGATAAGAAACAAATAAACAAATAACCAAACAATGAAGTAGATAATTTCTATAAAGACAATAATTATTTATTTATGAATGAATGATAACTAGACATTTAACCTTGAAAAGTCATGATAATGTTTATTTTGGCAAAGAATATAGATCTATGTATAGGGGTTATAAAGATTGTATAGTTTTTTTTGTTTTTTTGATTGAGATCATCAATTTGATTATTGATAAAGTAGAATGGAAAATTTGGAAGAATTAGATGGTCGTTTTTTTTAATCTTTGTAATCGAACTATTCAGTAGTGAATTGTCACGATCTCATATGTTGTCTAAAGATTTCAGGTTTTCAATGATCTAACAATAATCCATTCATGATATTGTTATATGTTGATGAGAATGATGAATAGTAACTGTTGGAATCTATTTATGGACTAATATTAATTGTTAAGTAACTTAACTATTCATCCTCGTGTTCCTCTTATCATAAGCTTTATTTTAACTTATAGACTATTACTATACGATTTACCATACTTAAGTTATACCCAATTGATCAATTACTATCTCCTATATTCACAATCAGATTTCACTAAATCTTGTACATATGTTATTTCCCATTTTACAGTACGACATGGTCTGTCTGGTTGGTATATAAACGCAGTATGTTTGAAATACATGATTCATATTGCAGAGACTGAGACTGGAGTTCTGGACTTAATTGGCTGGGCTAGACAGGAAGCAGGACCAATAAGGATTCTACACTGTTCGTATGGTTTTATGCGTCATTGATCTAGTCTATAATTCATTGTTCTCGAATTGACGGTATCATTACGTTATACAATAACAGGGCATACAGGCCACAAGTTATAACAGGTATCAATCGAAACTGAACAATCTCCACAACCCTATACTGATAATAATCATCATGTGCTTACTAGTGACTGGCGTCAAAATGATTTCCTGGAGTTCTAGTAATAAGCCGTGACTTATGGAGTTCAATTCGTGCCAGGTAGAGACAAGTATCTACCACAAACAATGGATGAATGGTTGGGCAGCAATTCATGGATCGATAGAAGTTACACATTAACATTGTTGGATGCCGACTTATTGGTGTAGAGATTAACAGTTCGCTGCGCGAGACCGAAGGTCTTGGATTCGAATTCCGCGTATGGAATTGTTGAACGTGCACTGTTGAGAAGTCCCATTCTAGCATGAAACGGCCATCTAGTGTTTCCAGGTTGTCCATAGTGCTCTAGCATCAACTGACTCATGATCTCAATCAAGAAGAATTTATTACTGCTACTTACGATCAATCGAATGGTTTTAAAATCGTCCTTGGGATTAAGAAATCACTAAATTGTAACAACCATTGTATTGTCTATAAACCCAAGTGTTGACTAAATTCCATCTAAAAGATCTAAAATCACAGATTTCTTACTAGACGATGAGAGACAGTCATCAGGATATGTCTGTGGTTAATCTACCATCATGAAAGGTTACATTTGATTGCAACAACGTTCTAACGGTAAAATCCTGACAAAACTATGTAAAACAGTTTGGGACTGCAATTGATCGGTCTCTTATTGGCAAATGTGCATACTGTGAAGATTGCTTCGATATTATCTTGAATTACAATCATTCTAAGCGAAATTGGATGGTGGTTAACAGTGGAATCCAGAACGATCATTTCACTCCATTTGGGTCTCGTCAGCTGGTCACTGACAGCGCCAAACATCAATAGGCAGATTCAAACAAACAATATGAGATAAATTAAGACTTTATCCCATCGCACAAGCTAGTGGCTATCAGGACTCAGTAGGTAAATGGATAACGCGATGGCTTTCGAAGTGAACGGTAATGGGTTCGAGTGCCAGAGTGAACATCAAATCTGAGATGCACGTACATCCAGTTGACGATTCCCAATTAGGACGAAACGTACGTCCTAGATTCCACTGCTAACCACCATCCATCTTTGCTTATATAAAGTGGTTGTCAATATGTATGCGAACGGTTCAATGAATGTACAAACTGAGTTACTAATTCTGTTAAATATAAACATAACTGAACTTAGCATTAGTTACACTCTCCTTAATCGTCAGTCTGAGAGTGATATTCCATTTTTTCGAATGCCAGTCATTAGAAGTATCAGTTTACCTATCAATATGATTGTTATCCTCAGATTCTTATGTTTCAAAACATCTTCAGGTTTTGCTTTATGCTTTCTTTATCTTATAATTGTTTTCTATTTATGTGTTCAATATGTTAGTTTATATTTTAAAAAGAGATTACTTACTTACTTACACCTCTTACTCCTCATGAAGGAGTATAGACCTCCTACCAACACTCACCATCCAACTCTGTCCTCGACAATCCTTTCCAAATATTTCCACTTGTTATTCATCCTTTTCGTATCTGCTTCTATTTCTCGATGTAATGTGTTCTTCGACTTTCCTCATTTCCTCTTCCCTTCAAGATTCAAAGTTAGCGCTTATCTGTTTGGTGATTTCCGTAATGTATGTCCTATCAATTCCCATCGTCTTTTTCTAATTTCCTCTTCAACTGGAAGTTGGTTTGTTCTCTCTCACAGTAAGCTGTTGCCGATGGTATCCGGTCAATGAATGTTGAGTATGTTGTATAGATAACTATTTATAATTACTTGTACATTGTTGATGATGGTTGTAGTAGTTGCGGAAGTTTCATCTCTGTACAGTAGAACTAAGTGAGTTGATGTTCGTATGGGATATTGTGACTTTGATATTGATTGATTGAGAGTTGTTTTGAGTTCTCTATCTTGTTCAATTGTAGGAATGCTGTTGTTGCTTTACCAATCATGCATTTACATCTGCATCTGAACCTCCTTGTTCATCGATGATGCTTCTCAGGTACTTGATGGATTCCACATTTTCTAGATTTTCGCTATCAAGTGTTATTCGGTTGGTGATCTCTGTGCTGTATTTGAGGATGTTACTTTTTCCATTGTGTATGTTGAGGCCTACTGATGCAGAGGCTGCTGCTACACTAGTTGTTTTCATCTGCATTTATTCGTGTCTATTGAATAGGATAGCTTTAAAAAGAGATGAAACAGTTAAAAAATTATCCCTATCAAATCAATCAAGTATTTGTATGAGAGTAGTGAATACTGTTAGAGTGATATACAGTCTAGACAATCAATGATAAGACAACTAAAGAGACAGATTTTTAATAACTTCGGAAGATGTTTCAAACGACGGTTACAGCGATAGTATAACTATATCGATAAAAAAATGGGAAGTTTTTAAAAGAAAGGTGGTGGTGGTGGTGGTGGTGGTGGTGAAGGGCGAGATTGTAGATGCGCACTACTGAAGTATCCCAGAGTAGAACGAAACATTCTGTTCTTTTATCAATAAATCTGTTATGCTTTATTATTTAACCTTACATGATCACAAGTAAACAATGTTAATTTTATAAAAAAAGTTTTATAAGCTATTATGATATGATGATCTGTACTGACCTAATTATTTCATCATTATCGTTTGTTTTCTCGTTTGATATAAGTGTAATTCTGATAAAATGTGTATGTATGCACGCACGCACGTATTGTTGATTAGTGTGAGTCGGTATATTTTGTTACTATCCCTTTATAAATTATTGCATCGTTTCTATGGTTTGTATAGATGTACTATTTGTGATGAAGGGACCACACGTAAATCGAAAAAACAAACATCATGCATCAACATCCTAATCATTGTTATTCGCTGCTGCTGCTGCTGCTGCTGCTGCTGCTACTACTACTACTACTACTACTACTACTACTACTACTACTACTACTACTACTACTACTACTACTACTACTACTACTACTACTACTACTACTACTACTACTACTACTACTACTACTACTACTACTACTACTACTACTACTACTACTACTACTACTACTACTACTACTACTACTACTACTACTACTACTACTACTACTACTACTACTACTACTACTACTACTACTACTACTACTACTACTACTACTACTACTACTACTACTACTACTACTACTACTACTACTACTACTACTACTACTACTACTACTACTACTACTACTACTACTACTACTACTACTACTACTACTACTACTACTACTACTACTACTACTACTACTACTACTACTACTACTACTACTACTACTACTACTACTACTACTACTACTACTACTACTACTACTACTACTACTACTACTACTACTACTACTACTACTACTACTACTACTACTACTACTACTACTGCTACTACTACTACTACTACTACTACTACTACTACTACTACTACTACTACTACTACTACTACTACTACTACTACTACTACTACTACTACTACTACTACTACTACTACTACTACTACTACTACTACTACTACTACTACTACTACTACTACTACTACTACTACTACTACTACTACTACTACTACTACTACTACTACTACTACTACTACTACTACTACTACTACTACTACTACTACTACTACTACTACTACTACTACTACTACTACTACTACTACTACTACTACTACTACTACTACTACTACTACTACTACTACTACTACTACTACTACTACTACTACTACTACTACTGTTTTACTGAAAAATGTATTTTATATATTGTAGAGCATACTTGTACAAATATATTTCCTTCAGCAATGTAGGCGTGAATAAAATTATGTCCCTCTGCGTATGTATGTGTATATATGTATATGTGTTCGCGCTTATAATTAACCTGATTGTCTGAATCGCTAATTTATTTAATAAGCACAATAAATGGAGGAGAAAAATCAAAATCAACAATAACAAACAACCGGATCATCGAACAAATACAAACAAACAAACAAACATTTCAATAGTCCACATTTAATTAGTCAACTAACTAATACATTGGTCAGTTTATGATTATTATTACTATCATCATTATCATATTAATTTGGTTAGTGTCACTTTATGTTTGCGGTCTGTGTGTGTGTGTGTGAATGTGTGTGAGAGTGTATATATATATATACATATTCAACTATAAAAGCAATCCAGATTCATTATAATTATCATCATATTATTTCATGTTTCTAAAGGGTATCATCATCATCATTCATCATTCATAAAAGATCACTCATTTATCCATCTCTATATCATCATTATTAAACAATCAAATTAGATCACTTTGTTATGCATCATCTCTATTCAATATTGTTTATTATTCATTAAATTATTTATTATAATCAGTCTTTTCTTTTGTTGTTTATTTGTATAAGGGGAACCAAATAAACATTCATTACGGTTACGTAATCACTGGTTATCCATTCACACATATATATATATATACACAGATATATACCTAGATACATAGATAGATATACTACTAATAATAATATTAATAGTAGTAGTATTAGTCATAACACATCAGTGATATACTATTCATCAAAAAGGAAGTGAACTCATTATTAATAGGAGATAAATATCATTTAGACATTAATATATCTATAAACAAATCTTATATAGAAATGATTCTATTACATCATATCAATAATACATTATGGTATGGATATGATACAATGAAAATTCATTTCTTATCAGGATTATTAATTAATTTAATTATCAATTTATTATCCATTAATTATTGTATTGAAAGTACTACAGGTTAGTTGAATTAAAAAATAATCATTATGATTATTATTATTGATTATGTTATTATTATTGATTGATTGATTGATTGATAAATGATCATAGTTATTGAATTGATGGTATGGTTGAAAGTGAAGAGAATCGGTTGTTACTCTTGAAATACACTTAAATGGTCATATACATACAATCACTGATAGGGAAGTTCTACTTAATGTCTTTTTGTGACTGGGGTATTGTGTATGAAATTGAAAGGATGAAAATACGAATGTTCAGCGATTTAATTGGGTTGATGAATATGAAAGATCCATCTAGGAGAGTTGGAAAACTTTTATCCCAAACCAATGGTGTACATGGGCTTCAGGATCCTAAGGAAACAAATGGCATATGAACCAATTGTTGGTCACCGGCTACCATGGAAATGCATCTCCTGAAATTGTTCCACTGCCTTGTAGATCAGACCCCTTAGTTAAACCACCTGCTTCGATTTAGGCGCACAAGCAGTATCCAAGCCCTCACACAAATCGAATGATTTATGTGGCGCATATCTGTTTGGTGCTTACTTGTACCAGTGTTTGTGTTTATATCATAATTGAAAAATTGAAAGCCATATATGATCTTTTTGAACCTTGTATGAGATTTCTTCTTTACAGTGCACATTCAGAATCCTTCATGTGAAACTCGAACCTATGTACTTCAGTTTAAATGACGGTCTAGCTCAAATTGTCCTGTGAATTCAACTGTTAAAATAGAACAATCTCCACAAAATTCCTAGCTCATTATGTTAGTCAGTATAGAATAATACTGTAATTGATAGACGAATGATATTTCAATCAAGTTTTCACTTATGATTGAAACACAAAAATATGTAAGGTGATTGTAATCAATCGTTAGGAATTCCAGTATTGATCAGAGTTTCATGCTAGTTGTTACTTGTCAAGAAGGTGTGTGTATGTACAGATAGTCTTGAGGCGAAATAATATTTTTAAGTACAATTGAAATCTGTCATTTAAATATATCATCACTCAACTATTCAAACTGTGATAGACTTCCTTCAACTATGACATCAGTTGACTCACTCTTGAACCTCAATAAGAAGAACATTAATTGCTTCATGCTTATAGATATACTTTACTGATATATGTTAAATGATATTAAACTTATATGAAACAGACCTTTCTCTTACTATATCCAACTATGTATCGCAGATACATCTGAACTATTTTAATAGTTGAGATTATGAGTCAATTAAAACTAGACAACTATGGAAAATCTGGAAGCAATGGATGGCCATTTCTTCCTATTGTGAGACTCCTGCTCAGCAGTGCGCATCCATGATCCCGTCACAACTATTAAAATTACTATAATATCCACAAAACCCCTTGTGATACATCTGAAATACTTTGTTATAACCCAACTTTTGCTTACAGTGAATTATTAGTGAACATTCGTAGAGAATGAAACATAACGGAAATTTATCAGTGTTCTCCAATGTTTAATAGTTATCATGAAGGGGACGAGGACACAAATGGGGACAACCAATTGTATTTGAGTATAAACATTACAAAATGTCTTACTAGAATCTGAGAACCATACTCCATTCACAAAATGTCAATCAATTGTCTCAGACTTGGTTATTTCATCATTTTCACATCAATCATACTTTGTCCTCGTTCTCTTTTCTTCAATCTGCTTAATCTTCTTCTATCAGGCATTTCTATTTCGATTGATCATACATACTACTTATATCTATTGACATCAGTAGTACACACCACACTAGTATTAATATTGAGTTATAATTTGTAAAAATACTACTAATTTTGTTTACTAGTATTATTTTCTAATTTCGTGTAATAAACAAATCATCAAAGAAATTCCCCTTCACAGGTTATATTGACTAATATTATTTTATAGAGGTCATTTTTCTGTTGTTAGACATGTGCTGACATTAGACTGTTTTTTGTTGTTGTCAAACTTAAGAACTTTTTAGACATGAAATACAATAATGATCATTATTATGCTTACAACCATCAATCATATAATGTATTATGAGCTATGGAATCCAAAATGCATGTTTCATTCTATTTGGGACTCGTCAGCTGGATGTACTTGCATCTCAGTGTTGATGTCCACTCTAAGACTCGAACCCAATACCGTTCTCTTCAAGTGACATCATGTTAATCACTTAACTATTGAATCCTGTTAGTCATTAGCTTGTTTATTGATGTTTGGGACTGCAATTGATCAGTCTCTTATTATTGGCATATGTACATCCTGTGTGTATCACCTCGATATAGCCTTAATTCACAAGCATTCTAAGCAAAGATGGATAGTGGCTAACAGTGGAATCCAGGACACATGTTTCGTCCTATTGCTGATTTGTCTCCTTTTAAGAAGTGTTTTTCTTCTACTCTATTCACTATGAGATTTGTTTGAATGATCAGTTGTTATTCAATATTCTAATGTATTACTTTGAATATTTGCATTTATATATCTATGAGATATTAATATCTTTGAATCATGCAATAAGAATAAGTGACTATTAACTGTTCCATCAGACATCTACAACCACTCAGCTACTTTCTACTCTAACTAGGTAAACAGTTTAATCACTTGTACCAAATACTTACTGACAAACCATATCGTACTTATGTAGAGATCCAGCTTCTATATGAACATTGAAGAAGTTTTATAGTTCTTCATCTTTGTCTAGATAAAAACAAACAACATATTCAAACTTAGTGACTAATTTACTTATTTGTATACTGTACTTTCCAAATACAAAAACTTGAGTATGTTTCCAATGTAACTAATAGTGGAATTCTGATGATGAGTTTCGTCCCATTTAAGCTTCATCAACTATCGAAGCTTATGGAAGCTAGTATTAAATAACTACAGTTCTCAGTATGAGAAATAGGAGAATACAAGTTCTGGCAAGTTCTAATAAATTAATATTCTGTTACAATCATCCACATTATGAACTATTTGAATGATTCAGTACTACAGAGTAAACTGCTCATATAGTGAAATGTTATCACGAAAATGAATAGTAGTAGTGTCGGTGATTTCATTCAGTATCATTCAAAGTCATCTCTAAGACACTTGATATCTGATTAAAGATAGTTATTTCTTTTCATTCAAAGAAATCTATGGTCAATAAACTGTTATTGTTTTATCAGAATGGGGGGGGTATGAATATTTTAGTAATTTAATGATTGAATTCATGAGTTGATTAAAGCTAGACCACTATGGAAAACCTGGGACTACTAGATAGACATTTTGTCCTATTGTAGGACTCCTTTTTAACAGTGTACATCTACGATCTCACCAAGTGAGATTCAAATCCAAGACCTTCGATCTCGCATGCGACCATTGAGCTAGAATCCAACGGTGTTCATATCTAACTTCAACCAATCCATGATATTACTCAACCATCTACCATTATTTTCGGTAAGTAACTACTTTACAACATACATAGTTGATTTCCATTGATCATGACTATCTAATACTTTCAAACTTTTCATAATGATCTAATTTAAATCGATTCATGAATTCAACTATTCAATTATTATTCTTTTATTACTATTATTACAATAATAAACATTATAAATCTATTTCTAATGACAAGTTCATTTGTCAACTAAATCATATTCCAAATGGAAAAGAAAGATATTCTTGTTATGTATTGTTTATATTATAGAACAAAAAGATAAAAGAGAAGCAAAAAGGTGATAATAGTCTAATGAAGTTAGTTTCTCTTTTCATATTACCTCTCCATGAAAAAAATTGATGATGAATAGAGTTAAAGGATAAATTACCTAGTTTTATTATATTCATATGTATCTATGATTTCAACCAGTTCTATTCAGAAAACTACATTAAAGCGATGATGGGAGGTTGTGCGGTGGGAGGTGGGAGGTGATTACAACTAGACAATTTCGTTAATAAGTTAATGAACACTTCTCTCTGTGCTTGTGATAAGGTATGACAAAACAGCTTCATTCTAATACAGTTAACTAATAAGGATCATATAGTAGATAGAACCAAATCATTTAGTGTAGTTTATCGTATACTTGGTACGTTTCTTTATCAGGTTCAATCATATCTTTTATATACAAAATATGGTCTATAATGAATCAATGTAACAAATAATAAAAAGTTTGTAGCCTCTTTATCTTTACATTTAGGTAAATTAGGTTTAGCAAGTGAGTCTTATGATTATTTCTATACCTATTGTCCATTTTATTTTTCTTCACTTTTTTTTTA